ATCAAATAGCATAGAAAGATAGAGCTTTTTCTTCTCTATCAGACTATATAGAAAGCAAATTACTTAAAACTTATCATAAGGTATTAAGGTATCACTTTACGCACTTTTGGTATGCCCTAAGTAGCAAGACAGCTGATACGAAAAAAACCTTCACGCTAGATACTAAAAAGGCTGTAATAGCATACCGAATAGAAAATGAAACTCTATATTTCTATACTTAACTTTTATAATATACACGAAATAAATCTTATGCATTATTTAGCTTCTATCTTTCAAACAAACTGCTTCATATAACTAAGTTTAGAAAAAAACTTCTCATTATTCCACAACTGACTTTTCTTTTTCTCCTTCTAGATAAAATATCGACAACGATTAATTAAAAAGAATTCAACACATTCAAACATATCCCAAAAACACAACAGCGATCCAAAAAAGCCCGCGTAAGATAAACGCGTCGTGTGATGCTTTCAAACTCTTATCTTCTATAAAACTAACTACTTCTATTATTTGGAGAGTTTCTACTGCTATAAATTATGTAATAGATATTCTAAACATGCCTGATGAGTACTGGGATAAGCTCCAGTCGAAACGCGTCGTGTGATGCTTTGAATATCAACTATACTTTCTCTTATATACTCAACTATATAGGACATATAATTTATCTGTGATCTCCGGATCATTTGGATAATTATATATAGTCATAGCTACCTGATGAGACCCTTAAGCAAGGTTGAAACGCGTCGTAGTATGCTTGACTCACCGCGAAAAGAAGCGACTTTCTCTTTTTTTTCTCTATGTGCTTCTGTCACTCTCGTGTTGTTAACTTCTGTTATCTGTGTGATGGTGATGGTGAAAGAAGTAAAATTCTCTTGCGCATCACAACGTTGCTGCTTTTATCGCAATGTAAAAGAAACTCGCTCGTGTTTTTTCTTTTCTTGTTTATTACAAGATAACAGCAGATTTTTCCTTAGTATAGTTGATCTTTTTGCTGTTCGTGATTACCTACAGTATGTGTATTGGACTAAACCCACGGGAGTAATCACAATGAATCCAAGCTTAACACATCTCTTGCTCTTGATTGTCGCCATATCATTCAGAGAGCCCGTTGCTGCTTTCTTGTTGGGGTTCGTCAACATAGTAATCGGTGAACTGGTCATACATAAATACATATTTCATGGACACTGGAAAGTATCAAAGGAGACACACATACCGGATGTCACCACTCGAAATCCATTCATCCTGCTTCACAACCAAATCATGAAGTTTTTCAACTCCATATTCCATCCCTTCTATGTTCAACATTGGTTAGCTCATCACAAACATGTTATCATCGACACGAAACATATTGGTGAGCATGGAGAATGTTCAGAGCATCTCCGACTTAAAACACTACAACAGTATCCCAACAACACAGCGTCCTTACTGAATTCTTCCATGGGCATGGACGGAAATATTTATGGACTCATTTATCAATATGGACTGCTTGTCTTCACCCCTCTGCCATATTGTGGACTTGTATTCTGGCATGACAAACCATGGTCTCTCCTTACTTATCTACTTCCTTCATTACTATTACCCCTTTCCACTATTTATCATAAGTATCTGCATATGTCTGATGTTTCTCGACGCAAAAAAATTTCTTGGTACTTTCGGTGGTTATTGTCAGATGCCGGGGATCAAGTCGTCAAAAAGCATTTCATACATCATCACATGAACAATGATCGTAATTGGAACTTTATTGTATTTGCAGATACGATTACCAATCTGTTCGACGGTACAAACTTGGAGCCAGATGAGAGAACAATAGGATATATGAAAAAATTGGGATTAGAAATGGAATAAATCTTAATGCGATTTTTTCTTTTTTTCTTTTTGATCTTCTTATTCCAATTCAGATTCAAGAAAGGTTAGATCGACTATTCTCTCCAATTGTAAAAAGTTCTGATAGTCTTGCTATCTTTTATCATTACGAGTTATTTGGATACTTTCTGGTGCGGCTATCTAAAGAAACAATCTGGCGGTCAATTTAAGCGTTAGCCTGATAACTTGGTGGTGAAACAAGTGAGAGCAATGATAGGGAGAGAACAGCGTGAACGTTTTTCGACACGCCATAAACGGGCTCTGCCAGTTTCCTGATTGTCTTAAGTATAAAGAATAGGAAGCTTCTAAAATAGTTTACAATTCATTATTTGGTGAAGTGTTACTTCTACACCGTCTTGTTAATGACAACTAGCCTTAAAATTTATCAAGATTCGTGAATGCTTCTAGCGTAGCACCGTTCTCAATCGCCTCCTAGGCTTATACTAATAGAGGAGAGCTGGTGAAACTATCTAGAAAGCAACTAACACGTAAGCTCAAAAACCTAATTAGTTGAAACATAGCAACCTCATCCAAAACGCTCCAACATAGCTGAAAACGTTAGCTTTAATTTGAACATCTGAAGTACGAAATGTTCATTTTAGTAAACGTTATTCTGAAACTTGATAAGTTAAAGTGTTACAACACAGGTTCAATTTCGAGTGCCGCAGCTTTACAATAAAGTAGTAACCGTATATTAGAACACTCAAGTTTAACTTAACTGTGGGAAAAAATGAAACTTGGAATGTTCAAAGTTACAGAACGATTCGTTCAAATTACTTGACAACTTGCAAAACCTACAGAGGTACAGTAGCTTTAACTGTTTTAGCCATTCACCTGTCTCAATTCGACGTTTTAAAAGATCTAGCGAGGAAACCTCTCGAGGTGATAAAAAGATGTAAGGCTCAGACTACTCTTGTCTTGTAGACCCTAGTAAGTAGTGAAATACCCCAAGTTGGTTCATCCTCTTATCGCTTTCCAAAGGAGTTATGCCTATTTCAAGTTTCAGTCGAAAAACACAATTTTTCCATGATTTTCGATTTTTCACTAAAACGATTATCGATACATATATTTGTTGTTTCTACGATGACGTGTAAAAAAGAGAAGAAAGGAAAAGGCCGACAAGCACTGTTGTTTTTTAACGTTGATGAATGCATATGGTATTCGATGAAGAAATGATTGAAGCATAGAATTTTTCTGCAGTAACTGCAGCGTATAAATGAAAACGAGTCGCACGACGAAATGTCACAGTGCGGTTGACTGAGTTTGAAGCAAACGTCTGTTACCGTTTGAAATTGACCTGGGTGATTATCAAGATAACCACTCTTAAACCATGCGTAACGTATCATAGGCTTATAGATGGGAGCCGAGATTTGATTATGGATGAGCGAATGGAATCTGATGATGTTGTTGCGTTGAGCCATTGATATATCAATATCGTCGAGAATGACTCTATCGTAAACACGTCGAGCAATAACTTTGTATTCGTGGTTAAAAAAGACATCAAGAGGTTGGATTTTAGCCGTCGTCTTTGGTGGAATTTGCATTCGTTTATAATCCCTTATCTTTTCATAAATACCCTTTGCATCTCCTTGACCCGGCCAACTGTCAGAGAGTAGAAGAGTTCGAGATGAATCGGTAATTGAGGGAACGAACACGTTGTCACGCCAGTACTCGACCAATGAGGTCGTGAGCTTGCCCGAGGCACTGCACGTTACCACGACATTATCGGCTTTAAAAAGATTACTTTTAATATCATCGCTCATTCGTCCATCCGATTCTTTGAGACATAGGAAAACCGGCCTAATTACTTTACCACTCAAGCTGATCATCGGTTGTACAGTGTAACTATGAGTAGTGGCATTTTTAGAACGGACCGTTGAAAGCGTCGTTCTCTCGCCGTGGTGACTGAGAGTGCGACTAGAATGTATTTCAAGTTCCAGATCCGATTGATCAGTATTTAAAACATTGTCTTCGTCATAGTGTGAAAGAAGCTTCCGTACTTCAGCCATAAATACTCTGAAAAAAATAAAGGAGGTTTGCAGAACCCTCCGAAAAGGTTCTGTAGATTTCTAAAAGACTCCAAATGTGTCCAAAGTCTCAAAAACAGAATAAAAAATTCGGCAGAACCTTTTGAAGGTTCTGCGTTTTACCCAACCGCAGAACCATCTCTTACAGAACCTTTTTTAAGGTTCTGTACAGCAAAAAAGGGTTCCGTGAGAAAATACGAAACCTTGAAGGTTCTGTACAAAACGATTACGGTTCAGTACGGAACCATTAGGGTTACGTACCAACGGTTNTACTAATAAATCCAGTTTTCGACGCTCTTTAATTTGGTATAAAATTCATTAGGTATTCAACTTGAAATAATGACGCTACCCCCCTAGCAAAAGGTTATGCACAACCCTGTATAGTAAAGAAGAGAGAGACGATCGTTGGGCTTATTCCCATTTACATAGTGAGAAAAAGTTGAAAAAAGATGTTACGAACTTAATTTCCAAGTTGGAAAACAAAAAGAAAAAAGACAAGAGAGAGAGACTGAAGAGAGAAGGGAATATACGTATATAAACGCTACATATATAGTAAATATATTATTTGTTCGCTTACAGAGAGTTTCGTGGACTAAAAAAAGGTTTCGATTTTGGAGGCGAATTTTAAATCTTTTTTTGAGCCTTGTAGAGGATCTACGGACCCTCTAAAAAAGAAGATTCATTACCCTCTGAAAATCATTTTGATGGTGATTTAGGTTCATACGAGAAATATTTAAAGGCTTCAATTTTTGAAACAAAGTGGATTGGTATGGCAATTTTTTCTTCAGTTTGATCCATTGCATAGTAATATCAACGCACTAAGCTGTCTAATATTGACCATGAGCAATAGAAATATTTGTTTTTCGATGGTGCTAGTATTGCATCACCGAGTGTTGCAGAATAGAAGATCTCCATTCTTGTTCAAACCCGCATTCACATAAGGCGTCTCACCAATTTCTTTAATTCAGGAGTATTTTTTCTGCGCATAAATACGTAATGCATTCACTGCTTAATGTATTCATTGGTAAAGAAAATAAGTAAATTATTGTTTCAGTTTAAATGCACGTACTGTTATGTATAAATTAGGAAATTTTTTTATTTTAGATTAAAAAAATGAAAGCAGCCGTCATAACAAATTTCAAAAAGCTATTGGAAATCAAGCGTGTAGCTATTCCAAAACTTGGACCAAATAACTTATTAATTAAAACAATTGCTTGTGGTGTATGCCATACAGATTTACATGCTGCTCATGGAGGTATTAAATAAAAAATTTTTTTTTCGTAAATGCTGATCTATAACTTCTTTTCTTCATAGATTGGGATATCAAGCCACAACTACCACGTATTCCAGGTCATGAAGGTGTTGGTGAAATAGTTGAATTAGGCACAATGGTCAGTAATTATTTAAAGAAGGGTGATATTGTTGGTGTGCCTTGGTTACATAGTGCTTGTCGTCATTGTGAGTATTGTTTAACCGGTCGAGAAACACTTTGCAAACAACAAATTAATTCCGGTTTTTCATGTGACGGTTCATTTGCTGAATATGTTCTTATGGATGGTGATTTTGCTGTTAAATTGCCAGATGGTATGGATCCATTTAAATCAGCACCACTCTATTGTGCTGGTGTGACAGTTTATAAAGCATTGAAAGTTTCTAAGGTTCGACCGGGTGAATGGGTATCAATTGTTGGTGTTGGTGGTCTTGGTAAATACATAATCTGAAAAACAATAAACGATCATTATTTTTCTTTCTTCATTTTTTATAGGGTCAGTTGCTGTTAAATATGCTGTCGCTATGGGTATGCGTGTAGTTACTATAGTTGCTCCTGGTGATAAAGTACAAAAGCTTTGAAGATTTTGTAATAAAAAAAAACAATGTTTTTTTTTCTTTCGTTATAAATAGGTTGCTGTAGCATTATCGAAAGAAATGGGAGCTGAAGAAGTTTATGATGGTCCATCAGATCAACACGGCAAATGGATTCAAGAAAAAATTGGTGGTGTCCAAGCAGCAGTTGTTACTGTGCCTATTATTGCTGCTTTTGAACAAGCATTTCAATCAGTTAAACGTGGGGGTCGTATTGTTGCTGTTGGTTTACCAAATGGTAAAATGGCTGTACCAATTGTTGATTGTATTTTGGGTGGTATTGAAGTAGTTGGTTCAGTTGTTGGTACACGTAAAGATTTACAAGAGTGTTTAGAAATCGCAAAACTTCATAAAATTGAATGTAAAGTAGAAAAACGAAAATTAGAAGATATAAATGACATATTTGCAGACATGCTCAATTATAAAATTAGCGGTCGAATGGTTCTTGATTTTACCGCTAAATAAATTTATAAATTAAATTGGAGTTTAGCTTATTCAGCTATAGATTATCTTAATAAAGAAAATAACATTATGAACCGTGTACAGGATTTACTGCCGCGGGATTTACTGCCGTAAACAATTTTCATAAGACGCGCTTTGCTTTCATGCGAATTCCAAAAAAAAAGAATTAATTAACATATTTATGTGTTCACAACTATTTTTCCTTTTATGGTCTCTCCCCCTCCCCCCCCCCCTGCTCTTATTAAGGATGTAAGCAATTTAGAAAACGGAAAATTAATTTTTATGTTTCAAAACTGAATTGCTCTTTTAGCATTAATCGATTAAAAATAATCAAATAAATCGACTCTTATTGTGTCGATATATACATGTTTATGCTGTGAATTTTAGTGGACTAGATGAATCAAATTGTTTTATAAATTCATCACAATTTAATACGTTATGATAAATCTTCTTCTTTGGAAGTACAATATCAATTTTATGTAAAATTATAATGTAATATATTGATTAATATAATATGATAAATGAATCAATGTATTATATCACATAAAAAGGTTAAAAGAAAATGATGATATTTAAAGGAAAAAAAATGGCAAATAAAATCTATACAACTCATAAGTTTATGTGTATATAGGACAGATTTGATAGAATTTTAATTTTTTTGAAATAAATTCTTTTATAAAAATAATTGTATATCATAATATAGTTATACAGGGTGTGGGTGTGGATGTGGTGTGTGGGTGTGGGTGTAGGGTGTGGGTGTGGGTGTGGTTGTGGGTGTGGGTGTGGGTGTGGTTGTGGGTGTGGGTGTGGGTGTGGGTGTGGGTGTGGGTGTGGGTATGGTTGTGGGTGTGAGTATGGATATACATTATTAAAACCCACACCCAACACCCCACACCCACACCCCACACACCCACACCCACACCCAACACCCCACACCCATACCCCACACACCCACACCCACACCTACACCCACACCCCACATCCACACCCACACCCCACATCCACACCCACACCCCACATCCACACCCACACCCTCAAGATAAGTTGTCAATATATTAAGTCTAACGTTAAATTTTTCGATTTTTTCTAGAAATAATTTATGTTTACGTGAAGTTCAAATAATAATTAATAGTTCCGAGGAGAGACACGATATGAAAGCTTTAAGTTAAATTAAATAACTTGTTACAGCATACGGCGGTGAACTAATCAGTCTGTGAACCGAAGATCTAGAAATCAACATTGGATGCTCTCATTTCTCCTCTTTTCTATTTAGAGAAGCCTGCAGAGATCATGGCAAGATATTGGATAACATTCCTCAGGAATCGTAGTGACATTCTGTTGGGTGAAATCAGGAAATATTTTTCCAATTATAAATTATTGAAATGCTGACAAGATCTTGACAAAAAATCTACGGGAGTAGGCTCAGAATGTCTCTGATATCTTGTTCTAATTCTAAAAGATATGTTTATTGAGTGTGGATATTCTCTTCGCGAACATCCACACCCACAGCCACACATCACAGCTACATACCACACACACCGCACTCACACTCCATCCACACGCTCAAGTATTTACTTTGTATCTGTTTGGTTTTCTAGAACGAAAAAGACATGGTTATGAGAGATATTAATCATATTCTAGTCAAATCATTGTTTCTCATATCGAATTCACAATGTATTTAGTTTATTGTCATATAGGAAATGAAATTCGTATTCATTTAAATGGTATCCACAAACGTTTTATGCTTCTTTTTCTTTTTATTAAATACCATGAAAATAATTCTGTTGCTTTATATTATCAATAATATGAAAACATTATGTTCGATTATTTTTATAAGAATAAATTTGCAGATAATTAAATAAATCAAAAAAGTATTTCAAGTTTTTCAGCAATTATTTGAAATTAACTTCAATTTAAAGAAATCTATTCAACCAAATGATTTTTGTTTGTCATCTAATAATTGAGAAAAGATATAAAATATTCTAGTCATTCATTGTGTAATAGAAGACGATCGACTTTTTCGTATAGAACGTTTTGGTTTTTAATCAGAGATGTTTTGTAATTGTAAACGATTTATGCTAGTTTTGGTCAGACTGCTATTATGAATATCTAGTGATGCAACCAAGATTTTCTATCAATTTGGGCTGAACCCATTCCTCACATCATAATTATTTATATCTCAAATAGCAGCATGCTTTCTTTACCACTATCTTCTGTTAATACTAAATTTCAAAACTATTCTCAGGGATAATAAAGACAGACCAGACACAGAATGTAGAGCATGACCTATATGGTAATGACGAATTATGTTCGGATGTTGATCTAAACAGAAGGCGATCTCTCATATTCAAAGAGCGTATTTTAACAAGAACTGAGATTTGAACATAAAGCTTTAATATTTGTAGCGAAATTCGATAGGACTTAATAACTTTTCTATGAAACGATTTTTCTTCATGACTAAGCAAGTTCTTCGATCTGTAATAGGAAAAATAAATAATTCATTTCATAACCAAGACTTGAGCAAATAGTTCTATATAAAATATCTGTAAATGGAGAATAAGTTCTGTTTGTCTAAAGTTTTGAAAAAATAAATAAATAAATAATAACCGTTTGTTTAATGAAAGTAGGTTCCAAACAGAGATGTTGGTCGTTTCTTTTTTTTTGACCCGACCCGTCAACCCGACCCGTTGGGGATCGAACCCGACCCGCTTCACGGGTTGAATGATTTTTTTTCGATCCGTGCCAACCCGTGATGGGTTGGTAATTCTTCAACCCGTCACGGGCTGCCCGCGGGCTAACCCTCGGGTTAATGAAAACTTTATTCGTGTAATATTTATTGACAAATTCATTAGTTTTTCACTGACCCATTTGTTTTTAACCTGTGAAATTCATATTTTTATAATTAGAATATTATTTAATTTATTTCTGAGCATATTCATAAGCATTACAAAATCTCAATTCAAGCCCAAGAAAATGAACAAAATTTGATCAAATGTACAATGTTAATATAGCACATACTGTTTNAAACTCTGATATGAAAGAAAATCTTCAGACTATCCTTTTTACTCATTTATGCGTAAAAACAAAAAAGTACATGCTTTTTACGGCCCGCACTGTATCAAATGATTATTGAAAGTCAAAAAAATATAATTTCTTCACTGAGAAATTTGCTTCACAAGAAAGATGTAGTAGGGTGTCCGAATAATTTTTTTACATACTGTATATATTCTTAAGTCACAATGTAAGATAAAGGAGAACAGGATTTTATAATCGTTTGTTTAGAGAAGATGATTCACAAGAAGAAAAAGACGAGTATGTTGGTGGTTGTTGTCATACTGAATCAACGATTAATCAGTTACCAAATAATGTTCGATTAATACTAACAACAATGAAAAAATGTAAATCTTTGGTTCGATATATCAAAAAGGTAATTCAACTACTTTTTTTTATTTAAACACTTATTTTCTTTTGTAGAGTGGACTTAATAGACAATTGCAGCTTGTTCAAAGTGAACCAGAAATTGGAGATCAAGATAATAGTGTTGATAAAAATAAATCTAATGAAGGAAGGACTCTTCATCGATCATCCATCGTACGATGGCTTTCGTTATCGAATCTTTTAGAAAGTATTAAAAGAGCATATCCATCACTGATTATTCTGCTGGACAATAATCAGCAGCATGCAAGAATTCAAACAATCAATATAGAAATAGCCAACAGATTAATTGATTTTTTTATTCATGGAAAGTTGTTCTTAATGAACTGCAAAAAATTAATGAGCTATCACTTTTTCTTGTTTTACCATGTATAACATAGCTTCGTAATGAATTAGCAAATGGTGAACGTAAAGAAAAATTTGGTAAGACTTACTGAACCTTTCTTTTAACACATATCTGAATTTTAACAAAATGGACTTTCAGTACAATAGGCAGCCGTTGATTTATAAAACAAGAAAATTAATTTTCATGAAAATAAGTTATCAAAACTATTTTTTTGGGTATATATGTAAGTCCATGTGCTATTTTTCTATTTTAGGACTTAAACTTTTTTTAGAGACGAGCTGCTCAATTGCTAGAAAATATGTTTATTATGGAAGAAGAATATATTATTGGTGCTTTTTTACATCCAAATTATGAACAAATGAGACGAGCAACTAGTTCTCAAATTGAAGGGTGTTATGCAAAATGTCGTCAATCACTAATACATGATCCATTAGGTGCTGACATAATCGTGGACAACTACGAGGCCGAAGCAAAAAAGCCAAAACTTTTCATGTCAACGTTAAGGGACAATCAAGATGAACGAAATCAAGACGGACATGACGAGGTTGACGACGACATATCTTTAACACTTGGTGAAGATGAACAATATTCAAATCCATTGATTTTTGGAAAAAAAAGGAAAATCAATTAGTTTTCCAAGCCTATTTCAACTTGCCAAGAGGTATTTTTCAATACCTTGTAGCTCTTCTGCAGTCGAGAGACAATTCAGTACAACAGGACAAATAATTACACAACGTCGAGCAAATTTAGACCCATCTACAGTAAATGACATTATTTTTCTTCGTTCTGTAGAAAATAAACTTCTTTAATTAGTCTAGTTAAGTGTATTTATTAATATATATTCTCTGTATTTTTTCTTTAATTATTTTTAATATGTTGAAGAATTATGTTTATTCAACATATTTCTACGGATGGTAGACAGATTATTTGAATTCTAAGACGACAGTTTGAAAAGACTATATTATGTATTAGTGAATATCACGGTTTTATAAACGCAAGTTTAGTCGAATCAATTCGAATCGAATCGCTTTTTTTTCAGGTTTTAGGCGAATCGAATCAAATAAAGGTTTAAAAAATGAAACCGAATCGATTCGAATTACTTTTTCCTGGATTTCTAGGCGAATCGAATCGAATGGCATTTTTGTCATTCGTTTCGGTCTCTGGTGCTCAAGCACGAAAAAAATAGTTGCAGCAAGTATGATTCAAAAAAGTATCGACACATTATATAATCGATACAAAGATAGTGAAATCGATGTTGATCAATTATTAGATGGTTTATTATTCACCATAGCGAAACAAAGAAACCAATTATTTTAAAAGAAACAAATTATCTTATTAACTTTTTCTTGAATATTTTCTTGCATTATTGTGTACTCAAAAAGTGAGTACACTCTAGAATCGGTCAGTGTGTCCGGCCGTCCGTTTACACGATAACTTTTGAAAGGAGAGTCAGATCATGATGAAATTTTCTACACAGTTCATTCTTAACAATATCTCGGTCAAGTTCGAAGATGAGAAGGATTGGCCGAGTCCTTCCTGAATTATCGCAAAAATACTCATTTTTCCCTATACCTTCCCTATGGAAAGATCGACCCTTTCCCGCTTTCGTAAACAACTTTTCCTATCATAGTCAACTAAAACCCCAACTATTATATACCATTCGATAGAGAATTTCAAGAGCTACAAAATGGTATATACAACATAAAGAAACAAGAAGGTTGACTTACCTATTGGCAAGATAAATAAGCGGGAATCGGTTCGGTTTTTGTGCACACTCCAATCGATCCCCAATAGGAACTCTATCTTCCTCTCATTGAGGTGATAATAGAAGGTTTTCTAGTATGGAAAACTCGAATCTGTACTCCATTTGCCTCGAAGACCCATTGGTTGAGCATTGACCAATAGAAATCAAGTTATAGGAAAAACGAATATCTGAGGCTAAGTTAAGCCGAGGAGTTCAAATCAGAGCTGTATACGCTCCTAAGTCCTATTGGTTAAGCAGTAGCCAATGGAATTCAAGGGTTTATAGAAAAGGTTTGCCAGGAAAATTTTTATATCCAGACATTCTAGGATGACCGATTTGTCCAACCACCGCCTAAAAGAGAGATAATGTTGTATTTTAGACCAAATCTATAAACACTTTTACCTGTTAATTCAGCTATAACTGGTAAAATTGATTGATCACCTTCATTATATGATAATACAGCAATTGCTGCACATAGATCAATAACTACACCAGTGGTATATCGATTCTTTGGTGCTAAACTCCATAAAACGGCATGGAAGCTTTCGTTGCTGTTTTGAGATCCACCATTGATGACTTTCTTTAGAGTATCAGCTAAATAATAAATAATCTTAAATTGATATTTAATGTTTCAAAGAACTTACGGTGAGCTAATTCATCAAACACTGGTCGGATTGCTTTCATAATACCTAATGGTAAACTATGCTTATAATGATCATATTCTTCACCTAATAATATAGAATAAAATCTCAAAAAGTATCTATTTTTTTTTACCTTTTTCTAGAGATTTTAAATATCCACAATATTTTATTGAACACCACTCATGGTGAGGGTCTTCGTTCGACGAAGCCTATAATAAAATATTTCTTTTTTTTCTAATAAAATCCTGCTTATTTCACATACTTTGTGTTTCCATATTGCCCAAACCGAACGAATCATTTCGTCTAGATTTGTTTTGTTTCGCACAATAGCTTGACGGTAGTATTGTTTGAAATTAATCATCATTTCTAGAAGAAAAAGAGCAATTAGGTAAAGCAGAAGGAGAATTTACTAACGTTTTGTCATTCGGCCTTTTCCACCTATACCAAGTTTTCCATCAATTTTGGTTTTCTTCAAATCTTCTGCTATCTTTTGTAAACGATGTAACATTTTTTTCGAGAAATGATTCACGTCTTCTATTTTATTGATTGATACATTTTTGTATGGAGGATTGCTAGTTAGTTTTGGAAAAACTTTAGAATCCCCGTCTCCTACATAACTACAACGAAATAATTTACAAAAAATAATACAATATAGTTTTATTTACTTTATATATTGAACGTTGTACATTCTCTCGGATCGTGAAAACAAATGATATATTCCTTCTGCTTCCATAGAACCTAAAAAGCATATAGTTAAAATAGAAACTGCTGAACAGAATAATACCTGATGAGCCTGAATGAGTTATTTCACATTTATGTTTATTTTTAATTTCTTCATATTTTGTTGGATTTGAATGTTTGATACTAAGTGCACCTGTACAAATGGAACAACTTTTAGATAATCTCTCCAAATCCAGCACCTATAAAACTTGAATGTTAATATATAGAAATATTTTCATCTAATATGTACTTTTGCACTGGAACAAGTTGACATTATTGCAACAACTCCATGTAAACTAGAAAAGCCGCGTTTTTGCCAGGTCCCGTCTCCGCTTACAGTAAGTTTACGTTTATTTGATTCACCACACGCTTCTTCTACAGCATTTTTCATTGAATTGAGCTTGTGTTATTCAAATACCGGAAGTATACGTGTAATAGTGCGAGAAAAATGATCATCATCAATAGGAGGTGGTACATTTAAAACACCACAAAGTGTTACAAGACCTTGATGACCTATCCCGGCAAAATTTGCACCTAAATAACAGATCAATTTATGTGTTGCTATGCTACTAAAATCAACTTACCAATTGCACTTCGAACATTAATATCTCGTTGAGAAGTTTTTGGACATTGTTTAGATGTATTGATTTTAATTTCGTTCGAGCAGTGACATGTAAACACCAAAGAACAATATAATCCTAAAATATATATGTAATTATTAAGTTTTACGCGAGAAAAGATAACATAAACAGTACCTTCCCGTTGTGCAACAGACATATCACCATTCCATATTGACTTACATGAGATACAAATACTTTGTTTCATTAATTCCAATAAAAACGAATTGTGAATTATCTGATAATAATCATTTGTATCTTCATCAACATCTGTATTTTGTTGTTGTTCCAGAAAATTTGATAATTTTTGGCATGATGCACCGGCAAATGGACGTTTTTTGTACGTGAAATATTCATTATCAGTTGGTCGATCTATGTCCGAAATAAGATCATTCTGTAGTTCACGTGTCTTTTTTGTAACATCGTCAACGATTTTTCGTGATTTAGAAGTGTTTTGGACCAAATGAACCTTTCTTTGCTTTTTCAAAAGTGAAGAGCGTGTCATTGAAGAAAATACAAATGCAGTACAATTAAAAAATCTAGAAAAAAAAAAGAAGTGGTGATCCATTATTACTGATAGAATGTAAGTTATGCTGAGAACAATTTGATTTTAGCGTATTATCCATCTTTGCGCAAAAACTTTCAGGTTTTTCAATTTATCGAAAAAATCATATCAATTATTATACCCACAAAATACTATGGTATGAAAGTGCGTGAGTCATCCGAAAGAGAGCAAAACTATTCCAGTAGTATGATAGATGATGCTAGCTAACGCCATCTATTATGTGTTGCAAAAAAAGTCTGCTGAAATATATTGAAAACATACCATTTTAATATGTTTTTTTTCGAATTTGAATAAAAAAATCATTTCTAAAACTTCTTTAACGTTTTTCTCAGAACATAGTTTCCATTCAGAAAAATTGAAATAACTTCCGTTCGGCTCGAGCTATATCCAATATTTTTTTTTGTTTTAAAGGTCTCAATGAGAGTAAACTTTTGTCCGACCAGTTTTTTTAAAGTCGATTCCTGCGATGAGAAAAGTGGAATTTACTGTCTTTAGATTACCATTTTTTATGCTGATTTTTAAACCCTTCCACTAAAATACTCATAAAAAATCAATAAGATTGAATTTGAAAATTCTGTTCGGACAAAAGTTGCGTACTGACATTAGCTTTAATTTGAGACCAGCCTGAGCTCGATACCTCGTGCTATGACGAAATTATATCGATTCTCCTGAAGGCCAAAAATGACCTATGAATCAGCTGGAACTCCGGTCTAGTACGACCAATCGAGCTGAAATTTTTATCGAAAGCGTATCTCTCCAGGATCACTCATCCCTGAAAATTTCAGCACAAAAGGGCCATTCTAAGTGGAAAACCATTTCTAAGGGGGGGGGGGGGCCTTAATGTTGTGAGACGAAAATGAAGAAAACATTATTATCGATTTTGTTTTGTTTTCTTTGTTATGAATTCGTTCGTAATGATCTTCTTGGCAATGTTCGATATACAATACGATTCCATGTTTTTCTGTGATCTCATTGTTGTGCATCCGATTATGTTGTTGTTGTTATCATTATTACTTTTTCAGTATTGCAATGTTGTTGATTAATCGATTGATTAAATGCAGTTTTCAATGCATCATGTTCGCGCATACGCCGAATGAATTATTTTTCTGTCTTGCTTATGTATGTTTGTTCGAAATCGTTTGCATTGGATTGAACAGACAACGTTAGATTGCATGTTTAAATATGAGGTCTTTATTTTAGAAAAATATTTGTACTGATGATAATGATCTTATGAAGAATTGAATATCAAGATCAAAACCAAGGTTATGGAATGGATGTATGATTTTCTTTTTCATTGCATGTGTTGTTTGTCCAATTAATGGAATTTCAAAATACATACGTTTTTTATCATATCATTCAACTATTGTTAGTTTTTATTTTTGGTTATTCACGTAATTTAACGCCAATTAAAATGTTGATGAATGGTTTTAGATAAACATTAGTCAGAATTATTCTTCTTATTTCATCAAATTCAGCCGGTAATGTTGAGTATGTTAAAAAGATGGTAAGTGATCTTTGAATCATTTTTACAATGCTGGCTTCCGATAGATGGTCGTCTCGAGGATCTATCAGTCAGATGATCGAGTAAGTTTTACATTAAGGAATGGAAGTGATTGATTGATTGATTCTTACTTCATGGGTAAATTTGATGAAAAGATGAAAGTTGTTGAGCACGGTTAACATATCAGATACATTTGCTGTTGTATTAATAAGTACCAATGTATCATTCACATAATGATGCTATTCACATACACCCATTTCTAATAACCTATTCATCCATGTTTGTTTTAAGGCGAACAATAAAGATATCTGCAATGACTGGAACTGATGAAGCATTCATCACTATATCATTGTGTTGCACATAGATTTTGTTGTCGAAGATCAGCTGTATCTCTGATGTAACTGTTCAAAATAGAATTTCAAAATCTCTTCTCTTACATTTATTATATTGTATTATTCTTGGTGCCTGTTGGCATGTTGTTCAATAAGTCGAACATATCTGATTAAAAATTTGTTCAATGATAAAGGTAAACGGAGAATTGATGAAGAGGCATGTTACATTGAATGAGATGATCATCTTATCCACAACTCGAGGTCTTTGGATTTTTTTGGCAAAGTCAAATGAATCTTTGACAATATAAGAGCTGTTGTAAACATGTAATAATCAGTTGGTTAACATTTTTCCTAAACTGTATCTGATTGTTTTTGTAGCTGACATGGCTGGTCTTAATGAACAACTGAGTTTAGTGCAATTTTGGCAGGTCATCGAGACGAGCTGGTCCTGATCCTACAGATCTTAATAAATTAAATTTATCATTGCTCATGAGTCCTTCTTTTTTAATCTTGGCGAAGTTCCTTCAACCTTTTCACACACGCAGATTTATTCATCACTACAACACCTCGGTCCTTGTCTAGCTTGTAATCATTAATGAACGATCTTTAGCAAAGGATTGCAGTACTTGGATTGTTCTTTTGTGTTATTGACCAATGACTTTTATTTCGATCTACACTTACGTTTGAAAATCATTAGATGTTGGTCGAAGCTAAAAGGCAACAGCGAATTTCAATAGTACAAGGTAACCGCTTCGAACAAACGTATGTTGGAAAGACCGAAAGATAATACATACGATGTATGTGCAAATATAGTGCATCAAAAACTGTATTCGATAAATCAAATAATCAACAACAACACGATCGGATCCACAACTAAAAAGTTACGAAAGAAAGCAGCACTGCATCATACACTGTAAAAAAATCCGTAGAACAATAAACCCAAAAAGGGTTGATGAAAGTGTAACGTACAATAAACCCTTTTTACCGTATGTACAATTTTCCTAAACCCTTTTAAAGGGTTTAGGAAATCAATATACTTTTTCATAAACCCTTTCAAAGGGTTTAGCAAAGGGTTTCGGAAGTCAGTAAACCCATTAAGAGTTTATTATACGTTGCACTTTAATAAACCCTTAAAAGGGTTTAGGAAAACAGTAAAACCTTTCCGATACCCTTTGGAAGGGTATATGAAAGGATTCTAGAAATCAATAAACGCTTACATAAACCCTTCTAGTGGGTTTATTATTGTCCTCAACCCTTTCATCTACATTACCACCGGGTTTCGGAAAACTTATTCTTTCCCAAAATTCATATGTTCAGTTGGATGAGTTGTACAAGCAAAACTAAATGCAAAAAAAATAAATTTATTTAATTTAAATACAACTTACTTGTGATTTTGTTATTGCGACTAAGCTAAATAAAAAGAAAAAAAAACTATTTATTTTAAAATATACTTACATATAATTTTGAAGTTGATATTCAACTAAATGAAGAAAGCACAGAATTATGTGTTTTAAAAAAAATACTTAGATATGATATTGAATATCCTATTCAACTAAATAAATAAAAAGCATAAATATTAATATAAATATAACACTTACATTTGATTTTTGAATTTGATATTCAACTAAATGAAGAACAAACAGAATTATCTATTTTCAATAAATATTTACGCATATTTTTGTGTTTGATGTTCAGCTAAATAATGAAAAAAGATAAGTATTAATATAAAAATAATACTTACATTTGATTGTATTTCTTCGAGAATTTTAAATAAAAGAAAGAATTATTTATAAAAATAATAGTTGCATATGATGTTTGACTTCATAATGAGCTGAGTAAAGATTTTATAAATAATACTTACGTTCATTATGGTGGTTTGTGTACATAAAACTAAGTGTCGTTTTG